GAATTAATGTATATGGTAATTACTCGTTGACTTTATCCCATAGTACATGCTCAATAGTCCCAAATAATAATACTAATATAACCATTAACATGATTATTGAAAACATTAAAAAAAATTTTTACATATGCCCTCTCCATTCTCTTCCCATTCTTCTAATGGTCATACATAATAGTCCCACAGTATTTGAGCATTTGCCTATTTAAATACTATACTCTCTGCCTCTTAGCCCTCATTTTGTCTCATGTCTACAGGTAACTATACATAAACACTCACAAGGCCTTTATGTCAATGTTTCTTTAGTCATTCTGATTGTCTAAGTCAGTTATGCTGGATACAAAAATCCTTGCCTCATACTTTCTTTCAAATTCTTAAATATATTAATTTTCTTCTAATGTAACAATTTGCTGTTGAAAAATAGGATACTCTCTTTTTCTAGATACCTAAAAAGTTCTTCTTCTTTGAAATACAGCAGTTTTACTAGAATGTTTTGGTGTTTGTCATTCTAGGTTGATAGTCTCTTTTTCCTTTTATTTCATGAACACTTTCTTGACTTACTTAGCATTTAGTATTTATTCTGTTCCCTTGCCTTGATTTTCTTCTTCGATACTCTTATTGTCTATATATTCTTTGCCTCCCTCCAGTATTTCTAGTTTTCTCTTGAGTATCACTCGTGGGAGTCATACGGGCTAGATTGTTGCAACCTCTTCAGTCTTTGTTGGCAGCCTCTTGCACTCAGCTGGTACTGAGAGGTCAAAACTCCTTCTCATTTCAACTGCTGCTCTCAAATTGGCCTGTTGTGCTTTCTAGCAAATTCTTGTTGCCTATTTTGGGCTTATTCTGTTCTGAGTTCCATTAAATGCAGCCTCATTGAATCTCTCTTTTTCTGCCCACGCAGACACTACCGTTTAGGCCTTTTGGCTATTGGTAGTTTGTATTCTGGCATTTGTTGAAGGTACTTTGTCATCTAGTTTTGTTGTAAATGTTGTCGAGGGGTTTAGGTTTTGCTGCCTAGTCGTTCCATCTGTTTTTATGTGGGGATTTGGAGAGTTTGAGAACTACGCTGCTATTGCTGTGTTCCCAGACTCCCCCGTAACTGGGGTGTGTGTGTGTGTGTGTGTGTTTACAGTCTGTATGAATCAGAATTTAAATAAATTGATGTCTTTTATAATCTGTAGATTCCCCCTCTGTATGTCTCTCACTCTTTCGCTCCTCTTTTCCCTTACAAATTATTAGTTGAAGAAACTACATTATATGTCCTGAAGAGGAATCCTAAAGATTTTGCGTATCGCATCTCTCTTGTATAGTTTAACGTGTTCTTCTGTCCTCGGTATTTCCTTCAAACTGGTAGGTGGAGCTGGAGTCTTGAACAGATTCAGCTTCCATCATAGGTTGTACATTCAAAAAACAAACAAAACACTGGATGGGCCAACTCAAGGAAAGCAAACAATACAGAAACAGAAGCACTCCATTTGCAAAGTTGACATTGAAGAATAGGCAGTTCCATAGAAACAGAAAATAGAATAGTGGTTGCCAGGTACAGGGGGCAGGGAGGCTGAGGAGTGACTGCTCATGGGTACAGAGTTTCCTTTTAGGATGAAGAAATTAGGTTGTGGTGATGGTTGCACAACTTCTGAAAACCACTGAATTGTATACTTTAAAAAGACGAAGTTCATGGTACGTAAATGGTATTTCAATAAAGCTGTCATCTTGTAAAAGGAAGTTAGATTTGAAAAGGAAGAGGGTTACCTAATTCTCTGAGACTGGTAGGAAGGTGAGTTGGCATGGGTACACGTGCTGATAAGTTTGTAAGTGACCTCTCCCACTAGCTGTAGACTAATATATTCAACTATCTATTGAATACACCCATTTGGATGTTCTATAGGCATGTCAAACTCAACATCATTGCTGCCCGATAGAATGTAATACAAGACACATGTAAGTTTTAATTTTCCAGCAGCCAATTTAAAAAGTAGATGGAGGGCTTCCCTGGTGGCGCAGTGGTTGAGAGTCCGCCTGCCGATGCAGGGGACACGGGTTCGTGCCCCGGTCCGGGAAGATCCCACATGCCACGGAGCGGCTGGGCCCGTGAGCCATGGCTGCTGAGCCTGCACGTCCGGAGCCTCTGCTCCGCAACGGGAGAGGCCACAACGGTGAGAGGCCCGCGTACCACAAAAAAAAAGTAGATGGAAGTATGTGAAATTGATTTTATATCTTTTATTTAATCTAGTATATCTAAAATAATATATTTCAGCATGTAGTTATAAAAATTATACATGAGCTCTTTTACCTTCATTTCTCGTGAAGGTCTTTGAAATGCAGTATTTCACACTGACAGCATACCCAATTCAGACTTGGCACATTCCAGGTGTTCAATAGACACATGTGGGTTACACCTAGAGTACTGGACAGTGCAAATGAGAAGGTTTAAAATGGAATTCATGAATTCATTGCTGTCTCCTTGATCTCAGTAAATGACCCCTCCTTTTAAGGATCATTGTCCTATTTCTTCTTCCTTACAATCCACATCAATCAATCATTTAGTTCCACTGATTTTTTTTTTTTTTTTTTGGCTGCGTTGGGTCTTCGTTGCTGCGCGCGGGCTTTCTCTAGTTGCGGTGAGCGGGGCACTACTCTTTGTTGCGGTGCATGGGCTTCTCATTGCGGTGGCTTCTCTTGTTGTGGAGCACGGGCTCTAGGCACGTGGGCTTTAGTAGTTGTGCCTCCCGGGCTCAGTAGTTGCAGAGTGCGGGCTCTAGGGCATGCGGGCTTCAGTAGTTTGGCATGCAGGCTCAGTAGTTGTGGCTCACGGGCTTAGTTGCTCCGCAGCATGTGGGATCTTCCTGGACCAGGGATCGAACCTGTGTCTCCTGCATTGGCAGGCAGATTCTTAACCACTGCGCCACCAGGGAAGTCCTCCACTGGTTTTTATCTTTAACATTTTTGCAAATCCATCTCTTCTTATCCGGTCCTACCAGTTTCCTGAAATTCAGCACTGCTTGCCTGGGCTATTACAGTAGCCTCTCAACAGGTCTTCCTGTTTCTGTTTCTGCCCTTCGTAAGTTACTCTGCTGCCAGAATCTCTGCCTCACTGATAATTTCACCAGGCCACTCCCCCACTCAGTACCATTTAGTGGCATCCCAGTATTTCAATAGTAGTCTGTGACCACAATGAGTACTACACAGATGATTGGGAGTGTGGGAAAAAGAAAGTAGACATCTGTCCTTATTCTTTTGAAAAGTACATTTAGCATCTATTTCTTAATGGACATAACACAGTAGAACATGTAAATAACTTATAAACGAATATAATTATACTGATGGAATATGATAAAGTCTAGGTTCCTTTGCATAGCAAACTCCCCATTTCCCCTTTCCCTCCAGCCTCTGGCAGGCACCATTCTACTCTCCGCTTCTGTGAGTTTGACTATTTCAGATCCCTCATGTGAGTGGAATCATGCAATGTTTGTCCTTCTGTGACTGGCTCATTTCACTTAGCATGATGTCCTCCAGGTTCATCCATGTTGTCACATATGGCAGGGTTTTATTCTTTTTCAAGACTGAATAATATTCCAGTGTGTATGTGTGTATATATATATATACATACACACCCCCCCCATATTTTCTTTATCCATTCATCCATCTATGAGTTTTCCATATCTTGACTATTGTGAATGAAGCTGCAATGAACATGACCGATATATCTCTTTGAGATCCTGATTTCAATTCTTTTGGGTATATACCCAGAAATGGGATTGCTGGATTATATGGTAGTTCCATTTTTAATTTTTTGAGGAACCTCCATATTTTTTTTCCATAGCAGCTGTACCATTTTTACATTCCCACCAACAATGTGCAAGGGTTCTATTGTAATTTCTCTACACTCTCACCAACACTTGTTATCTTTTTTTTTTTTAATAATAGTCGTCCTGACAGGTGTGAGATCATATGTCATTGTGGTTTTGATTTGTGTTTCTCTTACGATTAGTGATGTTGAACACCTTTTCATATAGCTGTTGGCCATTTGTATGTTTTCTTTGGAGAAATGTCTATTCATGTCCTTTGCCTATTTTTTTAATTGTGTTATTTGTTTTGCTATTGAGTCGTAGATGTTTCTTAGGTATTTTAGATATTAACCACTTACTACATAAAGGGTTTGCAAATATTTTCTCCCATTCCATGGATTTCCTTTTCATTTTGTTGATTGTTTTCACTGATTCTTACTCCAGGAAGACTTCCTCCAGTTAGACTAGATATCCCTCTTCCCAATTCCCATAGAACATTGTGAATATCTCTGACTTGGCACTTACGTTATTATATTAGAATTATCTGTCATTATATGTCTGTTTTGTCTCTCTTCCGGCCTCAAGACTCATTGAGGGAAAGGATTTTGCCTCGGTTATCATTTTTGTACTTCTAGTCCCTAATACAGTTCCTATTATATAATTGGTACTCAGATATTAGTAGAACTAAACTGTGCCCCTGAAATTTTAATGATTAAGTTATCAAAGGTTAGACCTAGGCATTAACCTAACTTAAGATAACCGAAGATGTAGATTCGTTATTAATACCAATGACCTCTGATTGAAAATTGAGTAGATAACTGAACCTGAGAAGAGTGGTATTTTTAATTTTAGGTGGAAAAAAAAAAAGCTGTAGCATATATAGAATACAAAATGATAAGTATTGAGAATATAAACTCTGCAAGTGCAGAGTTTTTGTCTGTTGTTTTCACGGATCTTCTCCCAATGTGTAAAACAGTCCCTGGCACATAATAATAAGTAACTGGTCAGTAAATATTTATTGAATAAATGAGTGGGCATAGAAAAGCACTCTAGCTTTCCACTTTATTAGGCTTTTAAGGCAAAAATTAAGTTTAAAACATTTCCTTATCTCTAATTCAATGAAAAATTGATCAAATTCCTGTCTTCTCACATTATTTTATGTTTTGTAAAGGAAATCTCTAAAGTATAATGGAGTATAATTTTTTTTTTCTCTTTTAGCAAACGAAGCAAAAAAGGAGATAAAAATGGAAAAGGCTTGAGACATTTTTCAATGAAAGTGTGTGAGAAAGTTCAGCGGAAAGGCACAACATCATATAATGAAGTAGCTGATGAGCTGGTGTCCGAGTTCACCAATTCCAATAACCATCTGGCAGCCGATTCGGTAGGTAGATCATGCACTTGACATTGACTGTGATGAGTGATGCAGCGGTGTCCCTCTCTGGGTTGTCTGTGTCAATTCGGGGATTCGGACAAGCTAGGGAATCCCCAACTCCTCCTTTACTTGAGGGTTTCATAATTGTCTTGGGGAATTTTGTTGTTTTGATTTTTTGTTGTTTTGTCTTAGAAGGAATTCTTTTACTATTTATTTAAACATAAAGATGGACAAGTGGGCTTCCCTGGTGGCGCAGTGGTTGCGAGTCCGCCTGCCAATGCAGGGGACGCGGGTTCGTGCCCCGGTCCGGGAGGATCCCGCATGCCGCGGAGCGGCTGGGCCCGTGAGCCATGGCCGCTGAGCCTGCGCGTCCGGAGCCTGTGCTCCGCAACGGGAGAGGCCACAGCAGTGAGAGGCCCGCGTACCGCAAAAAAAAAAAAAAAAAAAAAAAAAAAAAGATGGACAAGTATTTTTTAAATGTCTTTGGGGGTTATTGAAGAAACATACTTTGTAAAAATATGCTTTTTATATTTGAATGACTTCAAATACATTGCTGAGCCTTTTAGTGTTTCTTCCATGTCTAAGTCAATAAGAAAATTGTATCTCGTTTTTAATTGAAAAAATACTACATGAACATGTTTATAAAAATTCACTTGTACCGAAGAGTATGTAATAAAAAATATCTCTCCTCTACCACAGACCCTAATCTGCCTCCCCAAAGGCACTCTTCACTATTACCAGATTCCTGAGTATCATTCCAGACATTCTACATGCATATATATAAAATAAAATTTATTTCTTTTATTATTGTAAACACAAATGTGATTATGCTTTTGTATGCTTCATTTTATTTTAGTCATTTATTTTTAAAATTTATTTATTTATTTTTGGTTGCGTTGGGTCTTCGTTGCTGTGCGTGGGCTTTCTCTAGTTGTGAGCGGGAGCTACTCTTCGTTGCAGTGCGCGGGCTTCTCATTGTGGTGGCTTCTCTTGTTGTGGAGCATGGGCTCTAGGCGTGTGGGCTTCAGTAGTTGTAGCACACGGGCTAAGTAGTTGTGGCGCACAGGCTTAGTTGCTCCACGGCATGTGGGATCTTCCCAGCCGAGGGCTCGAACCTGTGTCCCCTGCATTGACAGGCGGATTCTTAAGCACTGTGCCGCCAGGAAAGCCTGCATGCTTCAGTTTTAATTTTATTTTCTTAGCAATATTTATCTTAGAGCCTCTTTTTTTAGCACGTATAAATCATTCTCACTTTTTAAAAATGGAGATAAAATTACATGCAGGGAGGGAAATACACATGTCTTAAGTGTGCAATTAAATTATTTTTTCCTTATCTGTTGGGGAATAATTTACATACAATAAGATGTATTCATTTCAAGTGTAAACTTCAGTGAGTTTTGACACTTGTATGCACCTGTGTCATCACCACCATAATCAAGACACAAAACATTTACATCACTCCCAAAAGGTTCTTCCTGCCTTTGTCATCCATCCCTCCCTCTCCCTCTATCTCCAGGCAACTGCTGATATGCTTTTTATCATTATAAATCAGTTTGCATTTTATTTAAATGTAGTCATACTATAGGTATTCCACAACAGTATTAAGTAATAGTAGTAACTGTAGTCATATTGAGTCTTTAATTCTTGACAGTAGAAATATTTGTAGTTTTGCAACCTTAATTATGATAAAGGTTTTATTTTGAGATGATAGTAACCATAACTTAATTTTTTAATGAATGTTTATTTCTTTTTTCTTAATTAAAACAATTAGGAATGGATGCTGAGTTTAATCAAACTCTGGATAGTTTCCTGGAATTTTAGGATTTTTACACTGGTATTAATGAATGAGATTGGTGAGGGTTGTTTTTACTTTTGTTTTTACCATCTTTGCTGTTTTTTTAATAACTTTTTCCCCTTTATTCTGCAGTTCACATGAGTCCCAGACTGGTTTCTCTTCTGGCTTTGTTATTCTTTCAGTGTCTTTGTCAATACAGACATTTCTCCCAGTAGCATATGCAGTTTGATCCCTATCCAGTGAGTACTCATAGGCCTTCAAAGTTCCTGGTTCTCCAGCATCAGAACCTGGGTCCTCCTTTTTGACTGCACCCATGTCTGTCTGTGCTGGGACTCTGCCGCCTTGGTCCCATCACCCTTGAGGTATCCTTAGGCCAGGAACGCCAAACACATTAATGTGCCAAGTCTGAATAAATACGGGAACTACTTCGATCTTAGCGTTGAGAGTAGGGAAGCAGACTGTGTCTGAGTTCTGTTACAAAGAATGCTGTACGCGATTAGCAGCGTCTGCCTTGGCAACACTCACTAGACGTGTCGGGAATGGAGTATTGGGAGGAGAGGCTACGAGCTGGCCCAGGTTCAGAAAGGGACAAGGGGTATATTCCATCGTCACCTTAGGTAGTTGTTCTGCTGCCCAGGCTGCGTTGTCTCACGGGCCAGGTGGCTGGGGAGGCTGACTGAAGGCTCCCCAGGCTCTTGGTGGAAGAGCAGAAGCCCCAAGCTAGAGGGAGCTTGGCAGGGCAGCCCATGCAGGGCCCTAAGGGGGTGTACATGCTGCAGGCTGCCCTGGCATCAGCTCCTTGTCCTCTGGAGTCAGCCTCACGCAGGCAAAGGCAGCTGGATGGCTGTCAAAGAGGCAGATGCAGCTCAGGGGTGAAAACACTCTTCCATGGCACTTACCCAGAAACAACCTTAATCTCTGGATAAACTTGCAAAAATTCCCATTCCAAACTAAAATGGTTTACCTCCTGTGTGCTACCAAGAAATCAAAATAGAATAAAAGGACAGTCTTACTTTAATCAAGTCCGGAATGAGGGCACACTGCTTTGAAAAGCACTGTCTCAGCAGAAGACACAAGGGTGTGTGTAAAAGAATGTTTCTGGAAAATACCAAAGGCACCAAACATACCCCCAGCTTTGCCTTCTGCTTCCCGTCCGTGCCACCCCATACCCTGGGGCAGGGAAGCTACTTTTCCCAGCTGACGCTGGGCATGTCACAGTGCTCCGTGAGCGTGTCCAGGTCTGTGTTGAGTCCTCTGCTCTCGGTTTGTGGGTTTGGGATGCTTTCTTCAGGGTCCTCTCCATTTGCTGCATCTCCTCCAAGGCCACCTGGGCCGAGGTCCACATTTCCAGGCCACACCTCTTCTCCTTGTTCTTTGTGCTCATTCCCATCGCTTCCAGGCGTTTTGCCTTGTCTTTGTCCTTTTTCTTCTGCTTGGTCATGCTGAGCTCTGCCACACCTTTCAGCTTCAAGGGCCCCTTTTGGACCTGCTCGCAGGCCTCCATGGCGCCCGTCTGCAGTTCGGTACCATCTTCGCAATTTTGATTAGTAGTGTTATGCTGGCTTTATAAAATGAATTTAGAGGTTTTCTCTTTCTCTTTACTCTATCACAGATTTAATGGCATTGGATGTCTAGTTCTGTTCCCTGAAATTTTATAGAAATCACCTGAGATGCCATCTAGGCCTGGTGACTTGGTGGGGGGTAGAGTTTAGATAGCTTTTTCCATTTCTTTTTTGGTGATTAGTCTGTTTACAATTGCTTTCTCCATTAAGAGTCAGTTTGGTATTTTATGTTTTCTTAGAATATCCTCCATTTCATCCATGCTCTCAAAATTATTTGCAATTATATTTCCAAAATTAAAAAAACCCAAACATCTCTTAGATTTGTTTGTATCGACCTCCTGTTTTGCAGTTGATTTCTGTTTTTATCTGTATTTAATAGTCTGTTCTCTTTCCTGAAGTTACTTTTGTTATTTCTCTACCCTGCAAACTATGATATATACTTTATTTACTTTTATTATCTTTGTTTAGTAATGAAAGTCTTTGTGGCTGTGACTTTTCCATTTATTTATGTATGTATGTATGTATGTATGTGGCTGCATTGGGTCTTAGTTGTGGCACGTGGGATCTTCGTTGTGGCTCCAGCTTCGCAGGCTCCAGAGTGCGTGGGCTCAGTAGTTGCGGTGTGTGGGCTTAGTTGCCCTGCGGCATGTGGGCTCTTCGTTCCCTGACCAGAGATCGAACCCTGCATCCTCTGCATTGGGAGGCCGATTCTTAACCACTGGACCACCAGGGAAGTCCCGACTTTTCCTCTTGTGCATGGCTTTAGCCATATCCCATTGATTCCGATATGTTATTCTTTAGATATTCTATAACTTTGGTTTTAGTTTCCTCTTTGACCTAAGAATTGCATTAGAAAAGTTTCTTGTAGTTCCAGATGGTAGGAATTTTTGTTCATTGTCATGAATTTTTACCTTTATTACCTATGATCAGAAGTTGTGAGTTGAACTTTTTCCTTTTTGGGGGGATTGCTTTGAGATTTTTCTTGTGAGCCATTATGTGGTGATCTCTTTTTCCTTTAATTTCCCTGGGCACTTGAAAAAAAAAGTGTATGACATTCTGATTTTCAGTGAGCTTCAGAGTTCTCTAAATGGTCTCCCAGCCCCCGTGTGACCCGGCCCAGCATTACCTCTCATCTCCTACTATCCACTCCCTCAGTTACTACACTCCAGCCACACATTTCGTGGATATGCTCCTAATCAAGCCATTGCACTTGCTGTTTCCTTTGCCTGGAATACTCTTTGCTAGGGGTACATATGGTTTCCCTCTCCTCTCCACCGAATCTTCACTCAGCTGTCACTACGATGAGGCATTTCTTCCCAGCACTTCTCAACATCTAACATACATACATTTTTACTAACTACCCACCTCACTCCCGAATATAAGCAAGGGTTGGGTTTTTTTTTCTGTTTATTCACTGCTTTTTTTTTTTTTCTGATAATTTGGAAGGTTTGTAGTCTGTAGTGCTTTAATTTTTTTTTTTTACAACTTTAAGTAACTTCAGTATTTTATTTCTTAAGTTATCACCTACAGACCAGTATCTGTTGATTATGGAGGGAAAAATAGATCAATATGCCTATTATTTACTCCCATCTCCCAGTTTTCCCCTCTGCCACAGGATTCGGATTGATTAGTGGCAGTTGTTAAAAGACTATTATTATTATTGTTGTTTTTATGACTTTAAATGAATATATTGTGCCAAAATTGTTACTTAGTTCCTCTGCTTTGAATTCATGCCCCTTCCAATATCAAAGAGATCAGCAGACTTCCTTTGCTGCCTCCTTCTGATATTTGTGGTTTTATTATCATTATTTCTAGTGTCAGGATTTCTAATATTTACATTCAGTTCTATAACTTAAATTTCCCATTTATTTAAGTTTAGTTCTATATTTAAATTGATTCAGTGCTCCACCATCCTTTATTTTCATGGATTGATTGGATTTGGTTCATATGACCCACCTGTGCACAGTGAGATAAGGGGCTTTTCCACAATGTAAATTAACACAGTTTCCTTCATGAAGAAAGTCTTGCTAACTGCCCCTCCCCCCAAAAAAAGTCAGCTGAACTAAACAGTGTGTATAGTGATCTGTGTGATTATATTTTGGTGCAAGTTCACTATTTTCATTGTATATTAGTAATCGTTCACAGATCAGCACTAGTGCATGGACCACATTTTGAGAAGCACGTTTACTAGAGCTTAAAACATGGATCCTTGGGCTTCCCTGGTGGCGCAGTGGTTGAGAGCCCGCCTGCCGATGCAGGGGACACGGGTTCGTGCCCCGGTCCGGGAAGATCCCACATGCCGCGGAGCGGCTGGGCCCGTGAGCCATGGCCGCTGAGCCTGCGCGTCTGGAGCCTGTGCTCCGCAACGGGAGAGGCCACAACAGTGAGAGGCCCGCGTACCGCAAAAACAAAAACGCAAAAAAACATGGATCCTTGACTTTTCAAAGTCTGATATCCTCCTAGGCACTGCAAGGCCTTAGCCACTTTAACTTCCTTATGCCTTTCTTATATATATACTATTATTGTCATGTATATTAGTTCTATATATATTCTAGACTCTACAAGATATTATGTTTTATACAGTGAGTATTGAGATTTACCTTTAGAGTTGGTCTTCATTCCATCCTACATCTCCAAGCTCCCATCTTAGATTATCTTTCTTTTACCTAAAGAAGGCCCTTTAGTATTGTTTAATTTAGATCTGTTGGTAACATAATCTTTATTTTTAAGATTGTTTTATGTTTTAGATTGCTTGAAAGTATCTAGTTCATCTTTACTTTTGAAGGATACTTGCACTGGGTGTGCAGTTCTTTCAGGTCTTTGAAGATACTATAATAATATTAATTAAATATTCTAATATCCTGTGACTGTATCTTAACCTTTAAAATTTATCACTCAATAAAAATATTTTTTAGCAGGCTTATGACCAGAAGAACATTAGGCGAAGGGTTTATGATGCTTTAAATGTGCTAATGGCAATGAACATAATTTCAAAGGAGAAAAAAGAAATCAAGTGGATTGGCTTGCCTACCAATTCTGCTCAGGAATGTCAGAACCTGGAGGTAAGTGAGGAAAATCTGTTTACAGATAGTAGTTTGCTTTCTTTTACATCAGAGACATTTTAATTTAGAGATATAATCACACAGTATTAAAATATTCCTAATTGTTCGTTCATGTATATTGTGCCTTTTTTTAGCAGATTCTTCTATGTAGAATTTTAGAACTGGAAGGAGATTTAGAGAGGTCTAGTCTGACTCATGTCCTGATGAAACCGAGGGACAGAGAAATTAAATGACTTGATTTTTACTGTTTTTTGGAGATCTTTATTTTATTCTAATTTCATTCTGAGCAGTCTACTAATAAATGTTTGGTGACTCGTGTGATAGAAATGCTATCTTATTTGATGAAATGCTGTATCCATCCAAAAAAATGGATCAAGTTGGCCGTTTATTTCTTGTATTTAACCTTTGACTCTAGAATCTGCAACAGAATGGTATGGTATTTCATTTAAATCCTTATTGGAATGTTCAGCTTACACGAATTTTTGGATGATGTATGCCAAAACATTGTTTATTCTGTTAAGTTTAATCATTAGACAAAATCTTTCCTAAGTGAGCATGTGTCCTGACATACTATTTCTAAATTGATTTGACATAATTTTACTGTCATGGCCATGAAAGGTAATAGGCCAAGGCTGACTACAGCTTTAGAGGTGAATATGGTTGATTTTGTGGGTTTTTTCCGTCCCTTTTTCCCTCCAGCAAATCAAAAAATTTTGGTATTATTAGACTTGTGGATGGAGGGAGAAACCAAGCAGTCATCAGAAGTTCTAGAATAATGTTCTTCATGTGCTACGGTGGATATGTCCTTTTTTCTCCTCCTGATAGAGTGAAATTTGAGGGTTATATTAATTACCAGTAAGATTAAGCCGATAGCAAAGACTCAGTAAGCAGTAATCTATTAGCATCTACCATGTGCTTAAACAAAGATTATACGAGACAAAATCTCTGACCCCAAGGAGCTTTCATACTAATTGAGGAGAGCAGAAATGTAAAAGGAGTTAACCAGAAATGTGATGACACCTGTGAAAGAAGTATGTACAGATTCTCTGGAAAGGTAGCTAAGGGAGGGCTTTACCAAGAAAAAGAAATCCCTGTGCTCAGTCCTGAGGGAGGGGTAGGAGTTTGCCAAGTGGTTTAGGGCAGGGAGGGCTCTCCAGGCAGAGGCACCGCCTGGGCTGAGGCAGGCTGAAGAGGGCGTGCCCGCAGTGGGTGTGGCCAGGGTACAGGCGAGGAGAGAGGGCATAGGTTTCTGAGTGCTAAAGCAGTAGGGACCTGATCCTATAAACAACCGAAGCTGCTGGAGAATGATAAGGAAGAGAGCTGAGGGCACGTGTTCTAAAGGGTCACTCTACTAGTGGGTTGGAATTGAACTGACAGGAAGGTGAGGAGGGAAGGTGAGGGCGGGTGGGTTGGAGAGGGGCTGAGTTCTGGCTGTGGCGGTGAGGCTGCAGAAGTGTTTTAGAGGCAGCGTCAGTACAGCTTGGCCTGGGTGGGTGCAGAGCATGAGGGGCAGGTGGGGGCTGCCCTGTCACAGCCTCAGACACAGGGGGAAGCCCCTGCAGCATCTTTTCAAATGGGGGAGAGCACAGATTCTACAGTGGGTCTTCAGTGTTTTAGGACTCAAGTGTGGTAGTGGTTAGAAGGCACCATGAGAGAAACTCTCGCTGCAGACTAGATGGGGAGCAAACAAGAAAGACGCTGCTTAGTTCCCTGGCAGTTCAGTGGTCAGGACTCAGCGCTCTCACTGCTGTGGTCCCGGCTTTCATCCCTGGTTGGGGAACTAAGATCCTGCAAGCCACGCGGTGCAACCCAAACAAACAAACAAAACATATTTATGGGACTTCCCTGGTGGTCCAGTGGTTAAGACTCCGCGCTTCTGGTTGGGGAACTAAGATCCTGCATGCCGCAAGGCGCAGCCCACAAAAAAAGAAAAAGAAATACGCTGCTGGAGTAGATAAGAAAAATGTCTTATTAGATGACGTTGGCTTTTGCCCAAAGACACAGTGAGGAATTCATCTACGGGAAATTCAGACCCCAATATATGTTTTCTAGGTAGCTGTGAGAGTGAGGAAAATAATAGTTATTTGAAGCTGGGAAATATGTCCCATAAGCATGTTTCTTACAACAAGTAGGGATTTCGTATTGAATATGTAGCCTCTCTGTATTAGCAGCTGTGCCTGTTTAAAAGGCAGTTAAACGGAGATCTTAAATGAGATCTTACCTCATTCTTGGCAGTTCATAGAGCAAAGGAATTAATAATAGGGTCTCTGAAACCAGGTGGCTTAGGTTCAAATCCTGGCTGTTGCCACTCACCAGCTGTGTGACCTTGGGCAGTTACTTAACCCTCTCTGTGCCTCCATTTCCTTACTGCAGAAGGGGTAACAGCAGTACTTACCTCTAGGGTTTTGTGAAGACCAATTAAGAGAACATGTGTCCAGGGCTCAGCTGAGTGCTGGCAAGTAGAGTAGGTATTCACCACGTGTTAGCTGTTACTCTGATAAGCGCTTCTGTAATAAATAGCAACAGGTACTGCAAAGCGAGTGTTCACTCAGGGGATGGTTGTCATCATGGCAGTTGCCACAGTTCTGCTGTCTTGCCTGCGTGCTCACCCAAACCCAGAAGGTGCGATTTGCCTTTACTTATGTTCGTTAAAACGGGTTGAGTGTCTCTAAGGAAAATTCTCGATATCTCAGAACTGGGACCTGAAAAGCGAGCAGTACTTTCTACTCTGCATATGTTCATGCTATTTTGTTACCTGTGTTTTAAAGATCGAGAAGCAGAGGCGGATAGAACGGATAAAGCAGAAGCGGGCCCAGCTTCAGGAACTTCTCCTGCAGGTAAAGAAGCGGGGGTGTGTTTCGTTACCTTCCCTGCCTGTACTCTGCCTCTCCCCTTACTTGCTTTGAGTCAGCGTTTTCTGCTTTGGGTGCCTTTGAGAATCTGGTGGGGCCCTGCTAGGGCAGCCGCTGCCACGCCCGAGCTCATCACCGTGCTCACGACCTGCCCGCCCCACCGACATCAGGGGGCCTCACAGCAGCTCTAACGTGGAACATATTATGCAACAGTTTACTTTTGACTCTTACCCTTACTCTGAACAGAAATTATTTTAGCCCTTATTTGGAACATCAAGGAATAAGGCTAGTTAAATTTTAGGCGCTTTGAGTAAAACAATCTAATCCACCTGTAATACTTATTATCTGTAAGTGACATTATAACATAAAAAGCTTTGTGAAATACCAAAACTGAAGATGCATTTCTGTTTAGGAAAATTAAACTTTATAGTGTAATGAGGATCCCTGTATTTATGCTTTTTTTTGATAACTGTCTAGAATCTGGGTAATTTAAAAAAATATCGTAGAGGCCTTGTATAAAATCATGTGAGGTCAAATCACAGGGTAGATGGACCTTTTTTTTTTCTATTTTTGGTAATTGTCAGTTGGTGTAAAAATTCACTTTGAGCAGTACAGCGAGTCATTTTCAGTCCAATCAGAAAAACTTTGTAAAATGAGCCAGCGAGTCTTTATACTTTTGTTTTTAATCAGCAAATTATCTTTATATGAAAAGCTTTCAACCAATCATGAAATCGATGTGGATTTGAACAACCATAGGTCCTATTTCACTTTTGGTGTAATCTACTTTTCAGAAATAAAGGAAGCAATAAATTACCAAATAATTGTAACATTTTTTTTCCCCCCTAAAATACTCTCTTTGTCTCATGGACAGAATAGTAGTTAAGTATTCCTACATGTTCCAGATTTTTGTTTTTCACTTTCTAGACGTGTATTTCTTTGTTCGTTTTTCACATTTTACGTACACATCAGAGAGGAAGGAGAAAACCGCTAGCCCTTCCACAGCTGTGCGTGGTCTGGGAAGGAAGGAGGGGAGGAAGCGGGGCAGGGGAGACGGGACAGAGGCTCCCGCAACGCAGGCAGCCCCACCAAGATGTTCCCTCCTCATTAGGCACCGCCTTCTCGCTACCCTGTGTCTGCAGCTCACACTGGCCCCTATGGGAACTACCTCTGGAGCAGGCGTCTTACGTATTTTTCATACTGGATTTCCAAAGTAGGCTTTGTTGGAAGAGAGCATTCTGCAGCTTAAAAGAAAAACAAAACTTGAAAGCTGACAGTTTATTCCTGTGCTGCTCCCCATACAGCTCTGCCTGCTGAGAGACCTGGCCTGCCTCGCCGCCACCTTCCCCGGCTGCCTCTCTGTCGTCCCTGTCCCTGCAGCATCTGCAGTATTTCCCTCCCCACTCACAGACCCTGAAACCCTGTGCTAGGCCTTCCTCACATTTCCTCAAAACCCTCATGGAACATTTTGGAGCTTGATTTTTGGCATATGTTATTATAAAAACCTGTTTATCAGTATGCCTGTAATTATCTGTTTATCAGAAAGACTTGCGCTGGGCAAAATTGCCCTCATGTATGTGGTGCTTTCCCATCCCTAGATGGCCAGCACAGAGGATGAACTGGAATATGTTTTCCCTGTTTATCTTTATACAATGAACATTGCTTTTTTTTTTTTTTTTTTAAAGTCCTGAGTTTCTTTTCCTCTACTGTCTCTCAAAGTAAATGTTTATGGAAGATTTCAACCCAGGCACAACCTAGCTGTCAACATTTATAAAAGCAAGTCTCTCTAAACATTAAAATGAAACCCCAAGTATAACTTCTAATCTCCTGGTAGACATATAGCTTATTTCTTCCTCGTAAAATTAAGCAAGTTGTCCCTAAACAGGAAAAATTTGCCTCGCTGCGGCTAAGCTAGCTTAATTTTTTTAACAAGGTCACAGCTGCTGACGTCACGTGACCCAGGTCACTTTTACTTACATGGCACCCTTTCATCCTTGGTGATGTGGGAGAGGAATGGTGTGAGTAGCTTCTGCCTACACATAATCTAGATGCCCTGCTTTTGTCTGTATCATTGTCCCTTCCAGCCAGTAAATCTCTTCCAGAGCTACTAATGCAGGGCAAAATGAATGTCTGAATACACCTGAAGCTGCTTAGCCTCTGAAATAGATGTTAATGAGCCCGGAAACGAACGAAAGGCTGAAGGAAATCAAAGGGCAAAAAATAAGGAACTCAGTCCAAAACAAATGGGAAATGATTTTTCTTTTTTACTATCCAAATAACTTTATATCTGTATTCACAGTGCTTTGCACAAGAAAAATCTTTTTTTTTGTTTTTTTTTTTGCGGTACGCGGGCCTCTCACTGTTGTGGCCTCTCCCGTTGCGGAGCACAGGCTCCGGATGCGCAGGCTCAGCGGCCATGGCTCACGGGCCCAGCCGCTCCGCGGCATGTGGGATCCTCCCGGACCGGGGCACGAACCCGTGTCCCCTGCATCGGCAGGGGGACTCTCAACCACTGCGCCACCTGGGAAGCTCAAGAAAAATCTTTGATGCTATTAAATGTACACAGTATTTAACAATGAATCATACATATATAAGAACTTTTACTTACCGCTGTTTATATGCCACCCTGTACCGAGGCCCTCCCATGGCACTAGGACCACAAAGCTAGGAAAAGTATGGGGGTGTCTCCAAGATGCTTTTTCTAGAAGAGTAAGGAAGCTAGGCAGAAGTATTCAAACGTATAATTCTTTTTCCCAGTTTTACAGTTTCAGCATATTTTTCCTCTATTAAGTGAACTAAGCATTGAATATAAAATAGCCTTAGTTCGTTAGCAGCAGAAAAGAACAAATTAATAAGTATGACTTAAGTAATGTTTGGTAATGAATGGTGTTGACAGTGATGGTTCTGGACACACTGTCAGGGCTAGAATAAATTGGTTTCCCTTCTGTTTTGTGCATTTTAAAAGAGTAAATGTTTACTTTCTAGGGAGATAGCACCCAGCCATTTTAAGATGACAGTAATCTTAATCAAGCTTCAGTTAAGGCCCAGGACCTAAAATAAACACTCGTAGGATAAGGTTGCTAAAACATAGAAAATAATTTAAATGCGTCAGTACTGGGTGAGAAGAGGGAACACGCTGATGGAAGGGTTGAAAGGCTGTGACTTTAGGAGCTTCTTAAGCCAGTATCTGTTCCACAAGCAGATGAAAGACTTCGGCTGCGTAAGGTCTTTCTAGCTGTGGAATTCTGAGATTCGTTTGCCTTATTTAAAGGGGGGTGAGGGGCTTCCCTGGTGGCACAGTGGTTGAGAATCCACCTGCCAATGCAGGGGACACGGGTTCGAGCCCTGGTCCGGGAAGATCCCACGTGCCGCGGAGCAACTAAGCCCGTGCGCCACAACTACTGAGCCTGTGCTCTAGAGTCCGCGAGCCACAACTACTGAGCCCACGTGCCGCAACTACTGAAGCCCGTGCGCCTAAAGCCCATGCTCTGCAACAAGAGAAGCCACCACAGTGAGAAGCCCATGCACTGCAATGAAGACCCAACACAGCCAAAATTAAATAAATAAAATAAAATTTTTAAATAAAATAAAAGGGGGTGGCAGGGTCTCTTTCTTTGACTTTTGATTAATGGTTATAACTTAAAAGTAGCAGCAAAATTCATTGTAAAGATTCAGGCCTTATATACCTTATAATCAATGCGAAGCCTCAGTTCCCTCATCTGGAAGATATCAGGTGGGGAGGGGCTTGGACTAGATTCCGAACTGTGCCCTAAAGATGCTTAGAAGTTCTGTGAAGGAACTAATCGGTGAATGAGGGCAGAGCTGGCAGGACTCAGGACTCAGCCCCAGTGCAGCCAACCAGAGCAAGGATGCTTTGATCTGTTTTATAAACAGTGGGTGTCCCAGAAGATTTCATTTGAAGAAAGCATTCTGTGGCTTTATAAAGTTTGCATATTTCTGGGCTAGACAATCTAAGGGGCATATTTTTAACCCTAAACTCTCAGGAGTCTGTCTGTGTTAGATAAACACTGTATCTGTTGCTGTATCACTCTAAGAAGAGTTGTAGGTGCCACTGGCTCTCCAAGATTTGTAAGATCCTGTTTCTATGCTTGATGGAAACCATGGGTCCCATTTTCTGTGATAGGATATGTTAGACACCATTTAAATGTATATTTTCTTTCCCTCGAAATATATTTATTGAGTTGGATCATTCAAATCTTTTTTCTTAAATGTTTAATTAACTCGTAGGTGAAGGGCCTCTTTAAATGCTCTAATTTTAAACTATATTTTAAATGTATTTAATTCATTTAGTTCCAACTCACTTATCCACGTTAAATAACTATACGGGTAATTTTGTTGATCATTACAGCAAATCGCTTTCAAAAACCTGGTACAGAGAAATCGGCAAAACGAACAGCAGAACCAGGGCCCTCCAGCTCTGAACTCCACCATTCAGCTGCCATTTATAATCATCAATACAAGCAGAAAAACAGTCATAGACTGCAGCATCTCAAGTGACAAGTAAGTGGAGAGCCAGCGGCAGAGGGCGGGGCTGACCTTCTGTTAACCTGATTCCTATCATTTGTAAAATAAAGAAGGTTGTACCCATTATCTGAGCGCACCAAGGCTAACTTCCTTGGGGCTCACGAAACAAGCTTTTCAAACGTGGAGTGCTGTCATCTACTAGCACTCGCTTCCGCATTCACCCTCCGCAGGCCCCTCTCTTGAGCCTGGCACTGTGCTGCCAGTGCTACAGGCATACTGGTGCCCAAGTCAGGATGTGCACGTATGTACACGTATATGGTATAAGTCTGGGCAAGTCACTGCGGTAAAGTAGAGCGTCACTGGGGTCTGGGACAAGGTAGGTTCACTAGTGATTACTGTCATTTATGGTGGAAATAGTTGAGATCAACGTGCGGCACTAAAGCAGTTGTTTGTTTTGCTATATCGTATTTGAGTGTGCTTCTGTTTATAATGAATGAATAGACATGAAAGTGCTATATGCCTTCTCTGCTTGCTTGCTTTCCTATTATCTTATAACCTGAAGTTTGTACTATTTATGACCTTCCTTCATTTTACTCACCCCCAACCTCTGGCAACCACCAGTCTGTTCTCTGCACCTATAAATTTGGTTTTTAAGATCCACGTATGAGGTCCATCATCCGTGTTATTGCAAATGGCAGAATTTCCTTTTTTTTATGGCTGAATATTCCATTTTCTAAATACACCACATTTTCTTTATCCACCCATCCGATGGTGGACACAGGTTGTTTCCATGCCTCGGCTATTATAAATCATGCTGCAGTCAGTGAACATGGGAGTACAGATATCTTTTCAGGATAGTTATTTCATTTCCTTTAGACGTATACCCAGAAGTGGGATTGCTGGATCATGTGATAGTTCTATTTTTAATTTTTTGAGAAACCTCCATACTGTTTCCAGTGGCTGCACCAGTTTACATTCCCACCAGCATGTTTTTCACTTTAACTAAGATTGATGGCAATATTTATCACAGTAAGTGAGAAATAGCAGTTTTCAAAATACAGAATCTATTTGTAACTTATTTTACCCTTCATGAAAACAGTAGTGGTCTTCAGGCTGTGACCAGTATCGAGGTCGTTAAGGGCATAGGGTGCAGAGTGAGGCAGACACAAGTGTGGGTTGTGGCTCCCGCATTTAACTGCTTCAAAAGCTCTGTGTCCAAAGAACAAATGGGGATGATGCCGGGGCCTCTGTCACTTCCTTAGCCTTGTTGTGAGGATTAAATAAGATTATGCCTCGAAGAGGTCTGACTCATGGAAAGTGCTTTGTAAATGTTAGCTACTTTTCCAAGGAGTCAGCATATAACTTATCATCCAAATTTGGGACGCGTTTGAGAGCAAAAGAGGGCTCAGTAACCACATCGGTGCCAGAGGCGTAGCCTAGGACTGTCCTGGGGACTGGAACTTCGAGCCTCTTAGAGCTACTGCATCACCGTGGGGCTTTACCACTCCTGGTTTCTCCCACTCTTTTCTCTGGCAGTGTTGCTTCCCTGTCTTGATTGCATACAGAGATTATGGGTCACTTAAATAAGAAGGAACCAAAAAAAAGAAGAAGAGTAAGAGAAACAACAGGGATTTCTAGAGTGTTTGGTAATTAAGCCTATAGACACAAGTAGAAATAGTAGGGACCATGCAGGCTGTGATGTCAGAAGATGCATTTTTCAATCTTTCCTCTAGTTGTATAGTTTCTTAACTTCTCTGAGATCTCATTTCTTCCTCTGTAAAAACAAGAATTATAGTAGTTAACTTGCTGGTTTACAGATGTTAAATTCATAAAGGACCAGCCCAAATGGTAGATGTATTATTATTCACACACTTAAAATTCTTTACAGAAACATGTGTCTACAAGGACTTGTGACATATTCTTATAAATCTGAGAATTCTAGAGAATGGTTAACATATTTTCGGGAAAAACGGTTAGAATTCTAGTTATTCTCTCTAGTTAGTCTCTTGTTTTGTGGGAAATCATTAAAATTCTCTTCTTTGGTTAATCTTTGAGATCTAAAAGAGTAGCAGGAAAGTGTGGGGACCAGAGACCTAAGGGAATTAAGGATTCTTGTCCTTCTTGGGTGGTTACTGACTCGTGCCCTTTCCTCACCCTCCCCTGAGTGGAGGGAAGGAGGCTCTGAGCTGCTTGTAGGAGCTTGTTATTCAAGGTGGGGTGCAAAAGAGCCTGGTCTTTCAGTTACTTTGGTGATGCAATCCTTTCCCCTTAGCCAGGAGGCTTTCCCACAATGATTACAGGTTACGAAACCTTCAGCTTTTAACGTATGCCTGAAGTCACCCCTGGGGCAGGCATCCACTCCAGATTTTGTGTGGTTTTTTTTTCTTCTGAATTTCTATTAATGTACTTATTTAAATTCATATACTTCAAATTACTTAAATGTGGCATTTTGCTTTAAATTATAAATTTTGCCCTTAAGATCTAGCATAAAAAGTTTTACCCTTGCGTGACTTTAATAGAATTTCATGACAACGTAAGCCCACTGCTGTCCCAGAACTTCGCCTGCACTCTGTCCCTGAGGGGCTGAGGCTCTGGGTGATGGTGCCCCAGGGCATAGCCTGGGAGTCAGATGGACTGTTTCTTCTTACAGTCACCTCTTTATTGAAAGCCTGTGCTAGGTAGCTGGGCATCCTGATTTGGTATTTTACAGAAACGTTCAGAAACGTGCTGTGTGTTATATACGACACTTTTTTCTTGCAGCGTTTTTACTCCTTAGGCCCTCAAGACAGGATTTGGGGGTTGGTTAGTTTGTGAAAAGTCTTCCATTTTCTGCTCATCTGAGGTATCGTGTCGCTAACACTTGACTCATGAAAATGAAGTAAGCATCCAACATGCTTTTTCCTCAACCCTAGTTAGGCCAACTCATAGTAGGAAAGTTAGATATTAAATTGGAAAGGCTTTCTTTGCGTTATTTTTTTGTTAATGACTGCTTGCTTTATTTGTTTTTATTGAAGTATAGTTGACATACAATGTTACGTTAGTTTCAGGTGTACAACATAGGGATTTGACACTTGCATCCATTACAAAATGATCACCGTGATAAGTCTAGTAACCATCTTTCCCTGTACAAACTTATTACAATATTATTGACCATATTCCTTATGCTATATATTATATCCCCATGGCTTATTTTATAATTGGAGGTCTGTACCTTTTAATCCCCTTCACTTATTTCACCCACCACTTTCAGCCCCTCCCATCTGGCAACCGACCACCCATTTGTTCTCTATCAATGTATTTTTATTTGTTTCATCTTTTAGATTCCACATATAAGTGAGATCATATGATATTTGTCTGTCTCTGCCTGGCTTATTTCATTTAGCATAATACCCTCTAGATCTATCCATGTTGTCGCAAACAGCAAGGTTTTTGTTTGTTTTTTTTAATGCCTGACTAGGAATATTCCTCTGTGTTTGTGTGTGTGTGTGTGTGTGTGTGTGTGTGTGTGTACATACCACATCTTTATTCGTTCATCTGTTGATGGACACTTCAGTTGCTTCCATATCATGGCTGTTGTAAATAATGCTTTAGTGAACATTGGGTGTGCACTTTATGTTTCTGAATTAGTGTTTTTGTTTTCTTCAGGTAAATACCTAGAAGTGGAATTGCTAGATAGTATGGTAGTCCTTTTTTTAATTTTTTGAGGAAACCTCCATACTGTTTTCCATAGTGGCTGCACCAGTTTACACTCCCAGCAGCAGTGCACAAGGGTTCCCTTTTCTCCACACCCTCTCCAGCATTTGTTATTTGTTGTCTTTTTGATGATAGCCATTCTGACAGGTGTGAGGTGATATCTTACTGTGGTTTTGATTTGCATTTCCCTGACGATTAGCGATGTTGAGCATCTTTTCATGTGTCTTTTGGCCACCTGTATATCTACTTTGGAAAAATGCCTACATGGGAAGGCTTCCTTAATATTTTATCTTTTGTGACAAAGTTATAGACAGCTTTGAAAAGTATTAGATTTAGACCAAAATTTCTGTCTCCAGTTTGCCACAGCTTAATGAGGGCTGAAATTTATGGACTCCTGTTGTCTGTCACCGGAAAGGTGTTTTAATTGGCAGGTGGTTTATTTGAGATGTCATTCTTCTGAACCCAGCAGAATGACTCATTGCCCTAAACGGTAACAATTTCTAATACTGTAGCTGAGCTTAGGTCCTCATTCTTTTATTGAATATGCAGAGTACAAAACTATTCAGACCTCCCCAATACCGCAGAAAACCCCACACTAACTTTGTTTCCTGATGCAGGTTTGAATATCTTTTTAATTTTGACAATACCTTTGAGATTCATGATGACATAGAAGTGCTGAAGCGGATGGGAATGTCCTTTGGCCTGGAGTCAGGCAAATGCTCCTTGGAGGATCTGAAACTTGCTAAATCACTGGTGCCAAAGGCTTTAGAAGGTTATATCACAGGTATGTTAACTCATGCTTTTTCAGTGTTGTCCTTGATTAAATGTCAGACCCTAACTTGCTAAAACCTTTCTCATAGAAAATTGAAGCCCACACTGTATGCCCTTCCTCAATTCTGTGCCCTTCCCTACCCTAAAATGTAACCTCTCTCTTGAATTTCTTGTTTATCACTACTTGCTTTTCTTTAGAGACACAAACACAAACAAATATAGTAAGCTGGAAACAATTTATTAGTTTTGCCTAATTCTCACCTTTACATAAATAGAATCATAGTGATATATTCTTTTGTGATTTGACTTTTTTCACTCAACATCATGTTCTTTAGATTTGTCCACGTGGTTTCATATAGCTGTAATTGATGCATTTTTACATAGAATTCTTGTATGCATAGAATTCTAGTATGTGGGTAAAGCACAATTTATTTGTTCATTTTACTGATCATAAACCTTTAGTGTGTTTCCAGTCTCTTGATATTTAAACAGTGCTGCTTTGAACATCCCCGTAACTGTATCCCGGTGGCTGTGTGCAAGTGTATAGAGTGAGATTGCTGGGTCAGAGTCGGGTGCATCTTCATCGTTACTAGATGATGCCACAGCTTTCCAATCTGATTGTGCCAAGTTACATTCTCACCTGCAGAGTGAAAGAGTTTTATCTTCCCAGGCAGGTGGATGTGAAATGGTATTGTAATTTTTTAAAATTGAGATTTAATTCATGTACCATTAATACACCATTTTTTTAAAAAAAGTTATTTATTTTTGGCTGCATTGGGTCTCTGGTGCTGCGCGCGGGCTTTCTCTAGTTGCGGCTAGCAGGGCTACTCTTCGTTGCTGTGTGTGGACTTCTCATTGCGGTGGCTTCTCTTGTTGCGGAGCATGGGCTCCAGGCGCGCGGGCTCAGTAGTTGTGGCTCACAGGCTCAATAGTTGTGGTGTGCAGGCTTAGTTGCTCCACGGCATGCGGGTTCTTCCCAGACCAGGGCTTGAACCCGTGTCCCCTGCATTGGCAGGTGGATTCTTAACCAATGCGCTACCAGGGAAGCCCAAAATACATTTTAAAGTGTACAATTCAGTGGTTTTAAGTATATTTACAGGGTTATTATGCAGTCATCACCAACCATTATCTCATTCTAAAACGTCTTATCACCCCAAAAAGAAACCCCACATACACTAGCAGTCACCCTTTATTCCTCCTTTCCTCCCGGCTCCTGGCAGCCACTGATCTACTTCTTGTCACTGTGAATTTGTCCATTCTGGGCCTCTTGTATAAATGGAATCATATAATATGTAGCCTTGGTGACTGACTTCTTTTACTTAATGTAATGTTTTCAAGATTCATCCATCCTGCTTCATCCCTTTTTATTGCCGTTTTGTGGATATACCACATTTTTTAAATCCATTTCTTAGTTGGAAGACATTGGGATTGTTTTCAGTTTTTAGCTATTATGAATGATGTTGCTATAAACATTCTTGTACATGTTTTTTTATGAACATAAGCTTTTGGTTCTGTTGGGTGTATGCCAAGCAGTGGAATTGCTGGGTCATATGATAAACTGTATTTAACATGCTGAGTAACTGCCAAACTATTTTCCAAAGCAGTTGTACTGTTTTACAATCCTACCAGCAATGTACCAGGGTTCTGATTTCTCCATATCCTCCTCCACGCTTGCTCATCTTTTTTATCGCAACCATCCTGGTGGATGTGAAGTGGTGTTTCACGGTGGTTTCAATTTGCATTTTCCTCATGACGGATGACGGTGAGCATCTTTTCATGTGTTTACTGGCGATTTGTATATCTTCCTTGTAGAAATGTCTATTCAGATCCTTTGCCCATTTTTAAATTGGGGTGTTTTAACAGTATAGTGAGTGTACTTGAAAATGGAAACACTATGTTTTGCATGTTCTGAAATTCAGATTTTCACTAATTCAGAAATCTTCTTTATGACTGTCCTAGTTCCTAAGACTGTGGTATATTCTGCACATAGAATTTGGATGTATAGACAAAAGCATTCTTTTGCCTTTGCTTTTGCCAGTTTCCTTCATTTATAAGCATTACTACCTAGAACTAATATTAAAATGCCTTTAAAACATGATGAGAAATTCTAAAGTATATTAAGTCAAATATAAGCAAAGAGGTTGTTTTTATTTTGTTTTATGGTTTTGGCCCTTTAGTCACAACACAAGAGTCTGTTGATTGAGATTTGGTTTCTGTTGGATTTAGTTTTTAAATTCGCACCACCCGCCTCCTGCAAATGGGACCCCCTCTTCTTGCCCCTCAGCGACCCAGTTCCCCGTCCTCACCCCGACCCGCTCCGTGCTCCCCTCGCTCCCCCCAGAGAAGGACCTCCTGTTTTATTAGCAGCTCAGGCATCCTAGCCGTCCAGCAGGGTCTGCATAAAGCTCTTACTCCATAAATCACCAGGACTTTATTTTAGCTCATTCTCAGTGAAAAGACTCAGGGCGATTAGGCGGGCTCTGTGGCTTTGATCTCTTCGTGACCTTGTTTGCAGACCGGGATACAGACTTTCAGGTTAGTTCAGAAGCAGAAGCGTGTGTGCCTTCGGTATGTGGAGGGACAGGGTGGCTCTTGAGGAGGGTTGTGAGAACCGTTGTGTGGGTCCTAGGAAAGAAAGAAATGTTGGCTTCTCAGAGCCACTGTGAAAAGAAAATGTGTCAAGAGCTGTGTTCTGGCAGAAGGTTTCCATATATACTAATTGATAACACTTAGCACAGGATTCTGGCCTTAATTTCATTATGTACGGACTTGTTCTTATTGTTTGTGTTTAAAGTCTACTCTTCTTCTTAGAATTGAAGGGTTTTTGTTGTTGTTTTTTTCCCCACAGCTGCCTTAGTTCGCCTGGGAAGAAAAGATCCACAAGGCCATTTTAAGATGAATGTAGTCATTTAGTTTACTTTTTTCCTATGTGGGAAGCTTCTCACTTGGTCAGGTAGTGCCAGGATAGTGGAGTTTCCAATCCCAGTACACAGTTTCTTTTCCTTTTTGCACAGTGATAATCAAAATAGTTTTATAAAGTATAATAAAAGCTTATTTGGCAAATTACACTTTCTCAGCATACACTTGGTCTTATCTCACAACGTAAGTCAAATAAGTTTCTTTTTTTAGGAATGCATTTCTGCTGTACCTACCACCTGTGTTGTAAACTCACCGTTGAAAGAGATGGTACTCCTTCGTGCGGTAACAGATCTCATGTTCCAGTCACTGCCTTCTCTGAGCTAACATTCTAGATAAGGAGACAAGCGTTTAAACAAGTCGAAGTACAATAAGAATTGGTCAAGGTCGTGATAGGAAAACTATGGTAAATGCATAGAAAATGAGATTGCAAGGACGTAGCCAAAATGTTTCATACAGACTAAAACAGCAACGCCTCTCTCGCCCTCATGAAAAACGCGACTGTGCGTGGCCTTTTAAAATAAGGTCTAGTTCAAGTTGTAAAGCAGAGGGTACCAGGAAGAAGACTAGGCCTCTGGTGCCTAATAGCACTGAGTTCACCAGGGGGCACGAAAGGACGGCGTGCTGGGGGCCTTGGGCAAAAATGTGTCTGTCCTTCTGGCCTAAGGCATTGCGACTTAACTTTGTCTGCACCCACTCGTGCTCAGCTTGTTAACGCCCCGGCCAGAGGCTTTTGTGCTGAGTTCGGCGGGTGTTCAGGAGTAGTACGGCTCTCACTGTACTGAGTGAGCTGCCCTCTCGAGGTCTTCTGTGAGAAGAAAGAATGAAGAGTCTGTGATTGGTTTAATTTGAATTCTTTCCTGCTGTAGTCTGCCTTTCTGTATTCCCCCCACCCACCCACCCACCCACCGCTCTTAAGTTCTATTTTCCAAGCTGAAGAAACCTGGGTTCTTCCCAGGGCAGGAGACTCATCCGGCTGTAATTCAGAACAGGCCGATGGCCTTACTTGTCTGTGTTTTCTTCACGCCATAACAAAAGCAGCCACGGAACTTACAGAGCTGCCATCTGTTTTTGTTTTTCCCTGTAGATATCTCCACAGGACCGTCGTGGTTAAATCAGGGACTGCTTTTGAACTCTACCCAGTCAGTTTCAAACTTAGACCTGACCGCTGGTGCCACCTTGTCCCAATCAAGGTACGTATTTTTTCAGGGTGAGAAGGGCGAGCCGCGAAGCCCTGACCCTCCCTGGAGGGGGAGAGCCAGTGTGCTGCGCCGGCCGGCCGGGTCCCAGGCGGCTCCGGCAGGGCTGGCCTGCGGCTCCCCCCTTCCCCGGGTTCTTTTCCCTGTGTTCTCCAAAGCTTGAGACATCCACCACGTTAATGAGCCTGTGTGTTTTCAATTGTTTGCTAGTGCAAACCAAGGGTTGTGCTTGGATGCTGAAGTGGCCTTAGCAACGGGGCGGCTCCTGGCCGCAGACACTCACCGGTCCGGCAGTGCGGCCTCCCACTGCTCTGAGTCCCGAGGCGAGACCCCCTGTTCCCTCAACGACGAGGACGAGGACGAGGACGAGGAGGACTCCTCCTCCCCAGAATAAAGACAGGCGCAGACCCACGTTCTGCTCTTTGATGCTCATGTGTGTTTTTAGTGTGAGCTCTTGTGTTTGAAACGATTGCTTCGGTCTTTGCCTTTGTTTGCACTGTGTGTTCAGTGAAAACTAGGGAAACACAATAAGCAAATTACCTGAAGGCTGAGAGGATTGAGGTGAAAGTTAACGTAGTGTGAATGAAAACCCTGAACGACAGAGCAGTAGATCACATGGCAAACAAAGCACGTACTCGGAGGTGGCAGAGGGGATAGTCCCTGACTTGGCAGCACGAACGCAGCGCATTTATCTTCCGTGAGGTGGGGCGCCGTGGCCCCCAAACCCACGCAGCCCTCCTTATTGCCGAGGTGGCTCCATGAACAGTCCCCGACGGCCGTGTGCCCCACGCCCCGCTCCCTGCTCTGGGCTGCCTTTCACGAGGCGGAGCTGAACGCGAGAGGTTCCCGGTGGGAGGAGCTGTACAGCGAGGGATGGAGACCCTCGTGGCCCAAGGAGCACAGATTGAACCGCTGAACTAGTTGAAAGTCTAGTCGAGGTGCTTTACGCATCAGCTGCCTTAGACGGCTTCTAGAAAGGAGCGAACGCTAATTCTTGAGTACTTAAGTGACATTTAGAATAATTTATAGTCAAACTGAAATGATCACTATTAGCCAATGCATTGGTGCATAGAATTTTCTAGGGCTACTTCTGGAAGCCAAAATAGAATAGCATTTCCACGTGCATTAAATACTTTGCCAGCACTGCCTTTCGCCAGCAACCTAAATCTGGAGTTTTACAAGAGAAGAAAATTGCCTCTATCGTTTTAATCAGAGCTATGCATTTCATACCGCTTTTTCACCTAGAACAAAACAAAGGAACAAGTCCCTATGACCGAGTTGCTTGCTTACAGGTTCCCTGCCGTAATTGTATGATTTCACCCCGTGTGCAATTTGTGAAAATGAACTGTCATTACTTTTGTCTGAAAAGTATTTCCAGAATACGAACAGCAATGTTTTCCTGTCCATGTCACCTTTGGTACATTCTCATTCATCAAAATGACCATATTGGGTTGATTCCTGGGTCAAACGCATTTCAAACTCACCCGATATTCAGTGTTTCACAGAAACACCAAAAAACGTTGAGCACTCCAGGTGACTGGGTGTGCGGTAGATCAGGACATAGACTGTCAGGTCAGAGCCAAAGATGCCGCTAGGAACCGCGCACTGCTGGGTTCACTTCCCGCCCCTCTGAATACGAGTGTGGAGACACTGCCACCACAGCCAAACCCCGACCTAAGCGCACATTAGTTAAGGTCTTGGAAAGGAGCAAACGATAATGGAAGATTAACTCTAAATCTCTGACTTGAATCATTTGGATTTGCCCCGAGATTATGCATCCAGCGTCTGTGGGCTCAGTGCTGAGCTCAGCCCAAACCAGCTCTTCCCTAAGCCCCGCAGGGGAGCGCGGGAGCCGGTGCCCACAGTGAGCCGGCGGGGAAGGGCCTGGCTGACCCAAACAACCAGTACACAAGGATGTACAACTCTAAGTTCCTTTGAGACAAAACGCATTCCATCAGGAATAAGCCATAGCGCAGACTCAGAGTGCGGAGGGGCCGGAGAGGTGGAGGCAGGTGCAGGAGGGCCCCGTAGCAGCCTGAGTTCCGGGCCACCCTGAGGCCCGGGAGGGCCCGAGGGCCTCCAGGGCACGTTCTGCCTGGAAGGTGTCAGCTGCATCATCAGGGAAAAACCGGGTCTCCTTCAGGCTGCCTCTCCCTCTCCCGAGCCCAACTTTTCTTGCCCCTGGACTTGAAAGGGGCCCAGCGGGGACCTGGAGAGGCCCAGGGCCACAGCGGGCTTTTCAGACTTCAGAATACCATGCCGCAGGTCCCAGGGCCACACATCAGCGTTCATGACAGGTACACCAATCGTGAGTGCTCCTCTACCAGGTAGCAGGCTCCTTGCCAGAGTTCGTGGGGCACCGATCCCCTCCCTCATCTGTTCTCTCTGCTGCTGATAAAATATGGGTTTAAAAGAAAAAGCAACCAAAGACTCCTCTTACCATTCGTTACTGGTGCCCCATCAGTGGCCTCCACAGCCAGCGAGCAGCGTGTGGTGTTTGGCAGGAAGTGGCCTCCGTTCCTCAGTGACACCCTTGGGTTACTGCTGAGGACGCCCAGCAGAGTCACACTGTGGTCACAGGATGTGTTGTCACGGGTGTAAGGCTTTACCTGAGCAGAAAGCTAGACTCAGATGTTTAGAAAGAGAAATTCTGTCATTCTTCTGCTTCTCCCCTAAACAGATTTATGTGGTTCTGAAGTTCATTACTCAGTCACAATTTCGTATAGAAATCAAACAGAAAAAAAAAAAAGGAAATTGTGGTTACAACATCCAGGCTTCTCTATAGGAGTAGCACTTGGGGTTATTTGCACACGCACGTGTACACACACACGCGGACACCCCTCCCAGAGGGTGCTGGTTACACTCTGCTTGGGGGAAGTTCAAGAGTCCCCTTTTCCCTCAAGCGCCAGTGTATTCGGTAACCTTTCCGGTGCACGGTGTCGCGCAGTCAGTGAAGTCGTGATCCGTTTAGCACCAAGCCTGCCGTCTTTGGCCCTGATGTGGGAGGGTCCAGGCAGTGCCCACGGCGCCCAGGCAGCCGCCCACACTTCCTGCCCTTCCCCGCTGCGCGTCTGTCTGACCCGCTTCATTTTCTCCTGTGATGACAAGGTGATGGGAGCAGCTTCAGGAAGTGCATAAACTGTGCCTTATGATCACGGAGGACCTCGGGGAGGGGGCCAGGAAAGGAGGTGCTGAGACGGTGATTCCTCACCTCTCAGCGCTGCCCGCCCCCCTGCAAAACTTTACAAATGACCCCTGTCTTCTAGATATGGTGGGGAGAAAACTGTCTGCAGTTGGCTGCCACTTTACCAGGATAAAGAGGATAACTCTCTTCGTTAGCAGAATTGACAGTTGTCCCCATACTCTGCTCTACCTGAAAAATGATGCCAGGGGCAGCCCCCAGGTACACATGAGCCCCTGCAGGTAATTCAAGCAGAGATAATTCCACAAAGGCGTGGCTCACTTTAGCCGTGCAGACATCAGAAACTCGGCTGTTTGGTAAAACACAGCCCTTTCTGGGCTGCTCAGGTTGTAGAGACAGCAAAGTTTGGGTGTAATCTGGGCCCTGGGACCGTCAGAGCAGAGCATACTGGGCGTGGGTGGGGCAGGGTTAGCAAAGGAAGGAAACTGCCTCAGCTCTTCCTACAAGAAGCACACACAGGGGGAGAAGCCTGGTTAGCTTCATGCGTGAGTCACTTCATGTGGCCTTTGATACCTCACCAGGCCCCTCGCCTCGGGCACATCTGTGAGGTGGCCTTTAGGGCTGCACTGCCACGGTGGTCCCTGCAGGGTCGGGGCTGGACGGTGAATGGGAAGATTTAATCCTTCAGTAAGTGTTCGAGTGAATACAGGACAGAAGATGTTCAGGTGGTTCGTGCTATGGAAAAAATGACAGGGTCATGGGGCAGTGGGGGAAAGGCTACTTTGGCTGGCGGTATCCGGGGAAGGCCCCCTGAGAAAGTGACTTCTGTTCTGAAGCAGACAATTGAAAGACCTCCCTACCAGGCCACCCTACCCCATAACGTGCACTTGGAAATCTCTGCTAAATTCCAAAGGCCCCACTCTTCCAGCTTTCAGTGTACATTTTGGAGTCTGTCAGGGAATTTCTAAGATTAATAAAAGAAAACCAAACTTAGCTACCAGCAGTAGCCATAAACTAAGAGAACATTCTAACCCATGGAGGTCTCCTTGTTGGCTCTGTTACCTTCCAATTGAACCTACACAATAGGAAAGTGAGTAGAAACGGAGAACTTTTCTAGGTGTTTTCTTCTAGTTTTACAAGTTGTTAGATACATAAAGGTCTACTTTTTATATTAGATGTATAAAAGAGAATCTTTTATCCTGCATATGGACTAGTTTTAGCAGAGCTGAAGACTACCTGAGGATCATTTTCCCAAATAGGTTCCCCATTTTCCGGCACCCGAAGCAGTGGTCCCCCAGCACTGACGATCACTCCCACATTTATCCAGACCCACGGGGTGTGCCAGGGCCCCTGCAGGACGCCGCTTGAGCGGCCCTCAGAAACGTGCCTCCCTGCCCTCTGATTCACAGTCATACAACGTTCAGTTCATTTGCTTAACTTCCATTCAAGCCGAAGACTATTACCCAAAAGGAAAATAGTGTCTGACGTTGACTTTACCGTTTTCTAAAAAAGTTCAAGCTAATGCCCACGTAAGTTACATTTCTCAGGAATTAGCCAAGATCTCTCTGGAAAGCTGTGCGTAGATAACCTTCGGGACCCCGTTTTCCCACCTACTTCTACACTCACACTGTGCTAAGGAAGAAAAGGTGAGGGCATAAACTCTGCCCCTCCAGTTCTGACCTGGGAGTCCCTGACAAGTACAGAAGTTTCAGTGGCCGCAGGTGTGCACTGACCACGCTCTTGTGACAGAAGAAAGTATATTCGCTTACTTCTGTGCAGCTGTACTTTCAGAAAAAATCCTGTATTCTTACGGGGCCTTCGCTTTACACGAAGGCCTGTGAATTCCATGCTGTCGTGACCCCTTGCTACTCCAGCAGATCGGACTTTGGTCCTCTGCCTGTAGCTGCCTTAGAAGCCAGCGTAGTGGACACGTGGGGGCAGGACTCGCCCCTTCTCCACCAAGGGCCTCAGAATAGGGTCAAACCCTCCCCACTCACTCAGGCATGTGAAACCGGCCGGGGGCGTGACCGGCCCGATGCCCCTCAGCCTGTCTGGCAGAGCCTGCCCTGCATCCCGAATCTCCCTCCTCCCGGGCCCCACTGCCTCCTACAAACCCAGCCCTCACCCGGGTCCTCCCAGAGGGCTTCTGGGCTAGCATCAGCGCTCTGTCACACCAAGTGCTGAACAGCTGAGCAGCAGGAGTGGACTCCGCCCATGGGTCCCGGCGAGAGGCTGTGGTGTCAGCCTCGGGCCTGTCCCGGCCCGGAAGACCCAGGCTTAGAAGAAACCCGTTCCTCCCTGGGCAGAGCCCTTCACGCACGTTGGAGGTCAACTGGCCCTTCTGTAGCAATGTTAGCTTTTTTCTGTCCGTACCCGTCTCAACCAGGAGACGTCCCCAGATCACGTTTGGGTTTTAAAACCCGTCGCTTTGTCGCTTCAAACTCACCATGTTGTCACTTCCCATGCGCTGTCTTCAGCATGTCGGGCACTAATAGCAAATGGCCTGATGGTTCTGTGTGTTCACGACTGGGGTCAAAGATTTCTCGCAAACCCAAAGTCTCTGGGGACCGAGATTCTCTTCTGCTAAGAGACTTCTCTGAGCGTGTTGCAGTTCTGTTTTTCCCAGTAGAACCGTGGCGGCTTCAGCCGTTCGGTGTCCCGAAAGGCGGACCCACCGGCCGCGCCGGAGCTCGGAGGCCCACAGTTCAGTACTGTGAGGTCTCGAGGCGGCTGCTTTGCCATCACCACCCTGACGGTTAGACAAAAAAGAAAGGCCATGAGCCCAAATCCCCAGCTGGTTCACCTGTTCATTTGTAGATGTCGTACTCTGATCATGTGCTGATAGGTTTTATTTCCAGAAAATACAGTTCTGCTTTTTTCTGCATGAAGGAAACATCATGGTGCCACATGCTTTAAGCAGTTTAAACGAGAAATAAGGGGAAAATGCAAACACCACATCTGACCTGCCTAATGTAGACTTTATTAGATTGAAGTATCTAACCTGATTATTATTTTGTAGCATTCTCAAACTTTGTAAATAAATACCATTATTTTTATATGGAAATTTTATAGAAGAGCTATTTCTGTATACTTAATTATTCCTGGGTTTTCTGAAATTGCTTCCAGTAGGTAATGGACAAGTACTAATCTGTGTTCCTGTAAAGGATGGTTCAAGGACCACCCACAGCAGAATTGATGGGGGGAGTTTTAAAATTTTGCCTCCCTAGGACCCACCCCAGACGCTCACTCAAAAGCTCTGGTGGCAGGGGGGAGGGGGGAGCCTGGGAAGCTGTATTTTTAATAAACTCTTGAGTGGGTTTTTTTGTCCATTACAGTGTGTCTGTCCATCCTGAAAGATTAAAAGAAGGAAAGAAAGGATAAGCATTTGAAATGAGTTTAAGTTGTGCTTGAGGAAAAAAATGTATCAGACTGTTCCATGATTTGAATGAGATGTACTATAGAAAAAATAAATAATTTAAAATAATTGTGGTCTCATTATTAGCAGGCTGATGGCGGTGGTGGTTAGTGAATACTGTGCAGTGCCCAGACCCCGGCCCATCTGAGTCCCTCTCCCCAGGAATTGCCCTTAAAAGGGAGCTGCCTCACCCAAGGTAATATACCACACGCAGCCAGTGAGGGGTACAAGAGGCCCAGCCGCCTTGCCCCAGTTGGGGTATCTGAAGGGCCGTCTCCACGTCAGAGTGCCTCGGGGAATTGGCTGGTTCCTCTGACGACTGTGTCATGGCTCAGCTACCCTCTAGCCCCCCCTGCCCCCCTCACTACTTACAGGTCACGTCCCCAGAGCACTTCAATGCACATCCACCACCTGTCCCACCTAGGATGGAAATGTCACACATTTAAAAGGTTTTCTGCATTGGAGACCTGTGACTTTACATCTTTATAAGATCACTTTAGAAGATAATCGCCTAAAGAATAATGTCTTTACAGTCTCAGAAACAACCGACTGTAATACAGGTTTTTAGGGAGAATGCTCATCTTCCCTTTAACCAAGCCGGCATCAGAGAGACGAGCTACAGTGATGAGTACAGAGTGAGGCCCCAGAAGCCACCGTGGCCCCCAGAACCTCCTGCTCAAGCAATCTCTGCCTGCCTTGGGAGGGGTGGGAGCCCTTGATAACACTGTCTTATATGCAGTCTGAGCTGGGTACGTGGTGGGCACGTGGACAGTCGGAAGGGTTTGGCGCAGTTGGGGGATGGCAGGATGGGGCCACGTCTTAAAGAGACACTAGGAAATGGTGAAGGAAGCACTCACTTGAATGTTAATGTCCAGTGGGACTTCCCTGGGGGTCCAGTGGTTAGGACTCTGTGCTTCCACTGCAGGGGGCACAGGTTCGATCCCTGGTCTGGGAACTGAGATCCTGCAAGCCATGCTGCATGGCGAAAAAAAAAAAAAAAGAATGTTAATGTCCAGGAAGAAAGGCATCCTCCCTTAAAGACTCTCACTTGAGTTGAGCAGACCAAGTCAGTGATGGTGGTGTGGACTGTCCAGTGTTGACGTGGGGAGCCAGTGCCCGCCCCCTTTCCCAGGGATTTCCTGGAGTGGTGAGCCCAAGCTGGTAGCAGCTCCTCCCTAGGGCTATTTGGCGAACGTGTCCAAGGACCCATGCGAGTAACACTGGATCACTTATTTGGCCATGAGGACATGCTTTGCTCTTGTGGCCGCATGGGGGATGTCGTGCGAGACTGCTGGGAGTGTCGTTGGTAGCTGTCAACACAACCAGTGGCCACGGGCTTGGCCGGGGAGATGTCCACAGAGCCCCAGCAGTTGTTTACGTCAATACCCAGTTCCTTGAGCTGGGCTCTGCTGAGGCGACAAGGCATCAGCGAGAAGATGGCCTCAGCCAAGGGTCTTCCCCAGAAGCCAGAACTCATCTGACAATCGACTGTTGCCTTTTTCGGTTCCTACTCCCAGAGCTAGTTTTTCCCCATTCCATCGGACAGACGAACTGCTACGGTAGTTCCATCCTCCTTCCATTTCTGTGTCTTATTTATTTGAGCGCTGGCTCCTCTAACTGCTGCTTGCGCCTGAGAACACCTTGAAACTTCCCCCGTTTCTTGCCTGGGAAGAGGGCTCCGCGTGTTCATACCGTGAACCACTCCCAAATGCCCGGGAGCTCCCTGCTCACTGCCAGCTCAGCCTTCTTCCCGAGAGGCCTTTCCAGCTTCTTGCTGAAACTTGCTTTCAGGAAATCTAAGCGTATAAAATGCTCTGTAGTAAAGGCAGGCCTGTATCAGGGTGGGTGAAACCAATCCCACTGAATGCAAAGTACAATTTGTCATGACCCCTCTTTCACTTTCATGCAAATCACTTTGCCATTTCTGCCACTGGGGCACAGCTCCCATCGCCAACCACTTCCTTCTCGCTTGCTTGTCTCCTGCCTTACTCAAGGGCCTCGAGTACTATGATGCCTGTCATACTGAGGTCAGATTTGTTTTCATGCCCTAGCACTTGGCCATGGCCCCCAAAAGCCAGAATTTGATTAGAAATCCCCAAAAAAGTATGCACTAAAGCCCCAAAATAATGGTCCTTAAAAAGGTACCATCTCCACAGGAATTATTTTCAGATTCTGCTAATAAATAGATTTGTTTTTGAACCTCCAGTGAACAAAGTCTTGTATTGCATCTTTAAAAAAAATATTTATTTTTGGCTGCATTGGGTCTTAGTTGTGACACATGGGATCTTCGTTGAGGCACGTGGGCTTCTCTCTAGTTCTGGCGTGTGGGCTCGGTAGTTGCAGTGCGTGGGCTCTCTAGTCGTGGCATGCAGACTACAGAGCACATGGGCTCTGTAGTTGCGGCATGCAGGCTCTCTAATTGTGTCTTGCGTGCTCAGTAGTTGCAGTGCATGGGCTTAGTTGCCCCACAGCACGTGGAATCTTAGTTCCCTGACCAGGGATCGAACCCACGCCCCCTGCATTGGAAGTGCGTATTCTTAACCATTGGACCACCAAGGAAGTCCCTTGTATTGCATCTTTAATCTGAATACAACAAGAAGTGCTCTCACAGAAGGTGTCTGTAGAACATCTAGGTGCGGCCTGCTTCGTGCGATGGGCCGTTGGAGCAGTGCTGGGCTCTTCCACTCCTGCCCGTCCTGCGATCATCTAAAAGATGAACAGTTTCCTCAAGGTTTATCAAAATTCAGTTTATAAATCACTATTAACACTTGTAAGAATGATAGATTTTTTACTTTAAAAATACTTGTGGAAATAATTTTTTAAGAACAAAAACCAGGGACTTCCCTGGCGGTCCAGTAGTTAAGATTCCGCGCTTCCCCCGCAGGGACACGGCTTCGATACCTGGTTGGGGAACTAAGATCCCGTATGCCTTGCAGCATGGCAAAAAACAAAAACAAAAAAAAAAACACAAACCAAAACGTAAGCCCAGTGGACACTCCTGAAAGTCAGACTAAAGGCATGTAAGGAGACAGAGACCATCAAACTGCAGTTCCTACTGGGGGCGGTTAGTGTCCCGCGGGCCTCGTCAGACAGGCAGGCGGGCCGGGGCAGGCCGTGGGGCTGCCTGCTTCTTCCTAGGTGTTGGCTCCGACCCTGGCAGCACCGCAGAGAAGACAGGCAGCTTCAAAAGCCACAGGCTCTGGCTTCCTCACCTGCACTCCTGGATGCAGACCTTTGGAGGAGGCGTCTGTCTTCAAAGACAGTGTTTGTTAACGGGCAACACCTTCTCCAGGGCTTCCAGGGCCAAATTCCTCAAAAGACATTTCTAAAACCTCTGGAATGAGGGTCGGTATCAGGGCAGCTGTTTCCTCCCTGTTGGGCCTCTGTGCCAGGAACCTGGCCTGTACGTGACTGGGCAGGTTAAGGACAGGCCTGGCCAAAGAAATCCGCTTGCTGAGGGGAGAGAGTTTCCCCTGTGGCTTCCCCACCCTGAATCCCTTTTGAAAGTCTTCTCAGAGCCTGGAGGGCAAAAGCATGAGCAAGTTGCAGGGTTGGCTGGAGTTAGGCCGGGGAGGTAGGTGCTTGCTGGGGCCACTCCCAGTCATCATGATAAAGGACAGACACGGAGCAGATGGGGAAAAAACTCCAGGAGAAACACCACAGGCAGAACAAACACAGAAATGAAAAACTGCGACGCCCACGTAGCATGAGCCATGGGGGCCATGCAGGCGCTGGAGGGCCTCGCCCGTCAGCCAGTAGCGGCTGGAAAGCAGCACAATCTCCTGTGAGGTGGCCATGTGCTTTGCTTAAGTTTTTGTTTGTAAGACTCAACAAATACCAGCTGCTGCACTGGGAGTCCCTGATGGAGTTAAAGTCCTGCTGGGTATACGGTAATGGATTGACGAGACAAGTCGGTAACACAGTCTACTCATCTGATAAGCTTGGATGAGCTGGCATTTGAGAAATTTTAGTTGACTTTTTTTTTTTTTTTTTTTTGCGGTATGCGGGCCTCTCACTGTTGTGGCCTCTCCCGTTGTGGAGCACAGGCTCTGGACGCGCAGGCTCAGCGGCCATGGCTCAGGGGCCCAGCCGCTCCGCGGCATGTGGGATCTTCCCGGACCGGGGCACGAACCTGTGTCCCCTGCATCTGCAGGCGGACTCTCAACCACTGCGCCACCAGGGAAGCCCAGCTGACGTTTATTTACATTTGCGTGTGTGTACACAAATTCCGTAATTCCTAGGCATCGTCTGATAACAAAATTCTAATTTTTCTGTAGGATTTTGTCATGTTCAATAAGCAGTATTAGAACACACTCTGCAGTTGACAGTCTGTTGACTTTCTTGGCAAATTTTTTTTTTTTTGTTTTGTTTTGTTTTGTTTTTTTTTTTGCTGTACATGGGCCTCTCACTGTTGTGGCCTGTCCCGCTGCGGAGCACAGGCTCCGGACGCGCAGGCTCAGCGGCCATGGCTCACGGGCCCAGCCGCTCCACGGCATGTGGGATCTTCCTGGACCGGGGGATGAACCCGTGTCCCCGGCATCGGCAGGCGGACTCTCAACCACTGTGCCACCAGGGAAGCCCTCTTGGCAAATTTTTAAGTGAAGAGAGACACAGTCAGGAAAGTAGGGAGTGTAGCCAGGCTTTGGCCAGATCATTCATGCTGAAGGTGAGAGTGCTCCTTGGTTATTCAGGCAAACCAAAGGGTCAACATAAAGAGTGTGTAGTTCACCTGTTCATTCGTTCATTCACTCGTTTGCACACCTTGACCTGTCTTCCTCTGATCACAGCGTGTGTGCACGTGGGGGTGGGCTGGCTGGGGCTGTTTGAGGGACCTCCGTGCAAGAGGAGGGAGGGAAGCCCCTGCAGCTCACAGGCTCCAGCATCACAAACCGGCACCCACCTCACTCGGCAATTCTCAGGCTTCACTGTCAGTGGGAGGGAACCCAGGGAAAATCTTTGTCTCTGAGAAATTAGAAGTTCTCTGAAAATAACCTACAATAGGAACTTGTTTCTTATACATGGACTTTCTTTCATCTTTGTAAATTCAGGGCCTGGCACAGTAACTGGTATGTAATGATAGGTTCTTAGTCTTTATTGAACGAGTGAATGAACGAACGCATGAACAGGTGAACTGCACACTCTTTATGCTGACCCTTTGGTTCGCCCAAATGACCAAATAGCACTCTCACCTTCAGCATGAATGATCTGGCCAAAGCCTGGCTAACCTGGAAAGACTGACCTCTTAACCATCCTATGTTCTGCTGGATTGAGTCAAGAGAGGACAAGACGGTGAAAAGAGACATTTGCCTGGCTTCGGAAGTAACTGGGTGATAGGAGCAAATAAGCTGATGCAAGGAGAAAAACTCTGCCTGTTGGGGAGAAGGTCGGGGGTAGCAGGCCTCACTGTCACCCGCCTCTGGGTCCTACCTGACAAATCCTTTCTAGCGACTCGCCCACAGGCCCGACTGTGCTTTTCCAACCAGCCCAGGCCCCTGCGTACTATACGCTTCTCTCCCCACCAGGACGTTAGTAGTTTATTTTCTATGAGCCAGTAAGAGACGATAGAAAGATGAGGGCTCCACTCTGATAAGTCTCAAGCCAATATGGTTTGTGTTTCCAATACAGAAACAGCTGCTTCATGCCCCCCGCCCCCGGCACCAGTCCAGTACCAGCTAGTTCTGTCTTTCCACTGCTGCCATTAACACACTTGTTCTAACCAGCAGCCACTGGATTTTTCCATACTTGAGTGTGGGCAGCTGTTAACAAGAGAACACTTGCCCAGAGAAGCCAGCAAGCATGGGAAGGAATGAGCTTGTTACACAGTCAAAAACAGATGACTAGGAACTACATGAAGTCCGTAGCACTTCCAGCTGCTTTCCATGTGAATTTATCAGTAACAATTCCACAGGAGAAGCTTGAGTGGGAGAGAAGGTGAGGGACTGTCCTAAGGTCATGAAGAGACCAAATCACTTGCAAAAGAGAGTTCCAGCCAGAGAGCTTACCTCACCCAATCTTTGTATCCAGGGAGGGAAAAGCCTTAAATGCTGGAGGGGCCGACACGAGGCTCCCCACAAGCCCTCTCCTCAGAAGTCCATTTTAAAAGGCCTCCTGGGACTTCCCTCGTGGCGCAGTGGTTAGGAATCTGCCTGCCAACACAGGGGACACGGGTTTGAGCCCCGGACCGGGAACAGCCCACATGCCGTGGAGCGACTAAGCCCGTGCGCCACAATTACTGAGCCCACGTGCCACAACTACTGAGCCCATGTGCCACAACTACTGAAGCCCGCGCACCTAGAGCCCGTGCCCTGCCACAAGAGAAGCCACCGCAATGAGAAGCCCACGCACTGCAACACCCACGCACCGCAACCAAGAGTAGCCCCCGCTCGCCGCAACTAGGGAAAGCCCGTGTGCAGCAACGAAGACCCAACGCAGCCCAAAATAAAATAAATTTATAAAAAATAAATTAAAAAAAATAAATTAAAAGGCTTCCTGGGCCAGGCACAGAGCTGTTTTCTTAGTCTCTGCACCCATAGGTGTATCACAGGCCAGGGATGCACCTCTCTTGGGGCAAAACTGTTCTAGTCATTTGTAGGTTGAATTAGCGACTAGTCTTTGATGGGGCAAGATTCTTTTCTACTACCCCAGGGAACTGCCGCCAACCCCTAGCAAGTCTCCCAAGCTGAACGGTGGGCACTGGCTCCAGATGCCCACGGTGGTCAGAGTGCAGGGATGCGCCTGGACCAGGGAGACTCTGAGGGAAGACAGAAATCCTTTGTTCCTAAATAATGAATCTTCTTTAACAGTTATAGCTCTCTTCTTCGGTGCTGCCTACAGAGCGGGCAGCATCTCCTACCCGGGATCATGGCTACCCTCAGACCACTCGTGAAGCCCAAGATGGTCAAAACCTGATGAACCAAGAAGTTCATCCGGCACCAGTCAGACTGATATGTCAGAATGAAGCGGAACTGGTGGAAGCCCAGAGGCATTGACAACAGGGTGCGCAGGAGATTCAAGGGCCAAAGGTTGATGCCCAACATCAGTTACGGAAGCAACAAGGAAACAAAGCACATGCTGCCAGTGGGTTCCGGAAGCTCCTGGTCCACAGTGTCAAGGAGCTTGAAGTGCTGCTGACGTGCAACAAATCTTTCTGTGCTGAGACTGCTCACAGCCTCTCCTCCGAGAACTGCAAAGCCGTTTTGGAGAGAGCAGCCCAGCTGGCCACCAGTCACCAATCCCAACGCCAGGCTGCACAGTGAAGAAAATGAATAGACAGCTCATGTGCACATTGTGTTTGTGTTAATAAAACCATGAAACTTGGCCAAAAAAAAAAAAGACACACCAGTAATAAAAAGCAGCTAAGGCATCTAGCGCTAATTGCCAGGCACTCTTCTAAGCACTCGCCCTACTTTACAGACAAAACTAAGGAAACAGAGAGGTTACTGTCCGAGGTCACACAGCTCTGAGCAGGGGGCAGAGCGAGGACTGAAAGCGAGCCCAGGCTGTGCTCTTAAGGATAAATTAGAGCTGCCCCTAGTCCCTCCAAGGCAGTCTTTTCAATTCTGGTAAGTGTATTGTCTTAAGTTTTATACAAAGAAATCCAGGTCAAACAGGCTGTCACCTGACCCAGAGTTAGTTGGGGGCGGGGTGAGGGTGGTCAGTTCTCTGGGTTTTGAGGGGAACGAGAGTCTGGTGTTGAGATCTGTGCAGTTAGTTGGGACAGTGGCCCAGGAAAGAATGACTAAGGCCGAGAGCAAAGCCCCTCTCTCTCCTGTGCCAGCCTCTCCCAGGGAGGGAAGTGTCTTTTGGAAGTGGGGTCCCCAGCAGGCGGTGTCTGAAGGTGGCATGGCTGTGCCCACAAGTCTCCTGTGTTTGCCTCCCTGCCCACCTCTTGACCCTGTGAGCTTCTTTCTCAGGCAAGCTCTCCCCAAATGGTGGCCAGATGGTCCCCAGCAGCTGCTGGATTCCTCAGTGCCCTCCAGCCCTCTAGCCCAGAGGTCAGCGCTTCTCCTGACCAGTGTCTTGGGGTTTACTCTTCTTGGACCAGCCTGGGCCACATGCCACCCCGACACCAACCAGTGTGGCTGCAAAGAGCATGCAGATGAGCTCAGCCCGGGCAACCCCTCGCCCTTGGAAACAGGTCAGTGTGGCAGCCCTGCCTGGACCGCGTGGCCTGAGGTGGGGAACATCAAGGCGCTGTGATGGGCCTGGCAGAGACGGGTCAGGGCAGGAAGAGACACGGACACCCGCATTTACCCAGAGCAGCCTTGCTGGAGGAGACCCTCTTAAAAGTGAAAGCATTTGCATTCTACAGCAACACTGTTTTATGTGCTGCTGTGAAGTTAAACACAGTGGGGGTGGTCTGGGCACTTACAAAAACAGCCATGCTTTTCAATAGTGCATTGAAATGCTGGAATTCATGGGATGGCAGGTCTGGAGCAAAGACCTGGATTTCCACTGCGGCTCCACTAAAAGTAAGTCCCTGGGCTGGACTTGTTTCCATCCTCACAGAAGGGGAGCCTCACCTCCACCCTCCATGCCTCACAGGCATCTCAGGAGAAATATGAATGTGAAAGTGCTTAGCGCTGTTGCAGGCATGTTCAATCCTGAGCAAAATCCCTCAGGAACTGGGGCAAAGTGAGTATGGCCAGAAGTCAGTACGACAGACAGACGACAAGTGCAGGGGCCTCTGGGGCCTTGGAGGACAGGCAGCGCCGGGTGGGAGGGGAGACCAGAGGGCCACAGAGGGCAGGCTCCTGGGCTCGGGGGACTGACAATCACAGCTGAGAAAACACATACTTCACAGACTTGATACTTCTGCATCAGGAAACGGCACGAATGATCAGGTCTAAATAGAACAGAGAAGCACTGACCAGCAGAGAGGCCTGCGAGCACAGCGGGCGGGCGTGGAGCCGCACATCCCCGGGGCAGGACAGCTGTGGACAGAGGCATATTCCCGGCAGGCAGGGGACAGTCGGGCCGGCAAGAGATTGAGTGCTACCTCAGGGGACCACCCATTTCAGAGGCCCTGTAATTAGGAGACACACAAAAGATGGCGACATAGTACATGGAGAGAG